TTTTCACTCACAATATCCACGCAGTCTAATCGCACTAACCCCACAAAGCACCACAAAGTACTCAGCTCATACACCTACCATTAGAAAACCACTGATCCTGTTCCCTCTTTACATGTGTATTGTATGCACATGAACACAGACACTGCTTTTTTCTACAGTACGCCGCACAAGCACATACAAGCAAACAAAGAGCAGCGTTCAGAAGCTGCTGGCACTTGTACGCATGAAAACACAGGCACAAAAGCCCCATACATACAGTATTGTTGGGGAAATTTTGCTATACTCCCAAACACCTCCCTCTACAAACACAATCACACACACCACAGCAGACAGAGAGGTTGTTTGGCATATTGTTAAAGAAAACAAGCATGTGATATGAGCCTGTGTGCTCTCGCTATGCAGTTGTTCATATGAAGACTCTTTCTTGTCTTGGGGAATCAGAAGTAGGCCGAGTCAGTGGATGTGCTCATTTCGTATACTATCACTGTGGATCACAGCCAAGGACATTTTTGCTTCAAATTGCCATGCAAGGGAATTTAAGACATAAAAAATTAATCAGATTTTTAGCAAAATGGGATTATAAAGCAGATGCAGCATAGGTCAGCTACGATCTAATTTATGTTGCTAAAATACTGACCATCTCTCCAGAACTTCTTATACTAGTTCTTCAGGGGTTTATACTCCACATTTTCGTGTAAGTGTCTTAAAGGCCTTGCACCCAGCTATTTATCTGACCTGCTTTTACTGTATCGACCCTCGCAGATCCTGAGGTCCTCCAACAGCAGCCTTTTATCCATTCCAGCAGCAAGAACTAGAACCCATGGTGAGGCGGCATTTAGCCACTACGGCCCCCACCTCTGGAACAGCCTGCCGGAGAGCCTCAGGACTGCAGAGACTGTCAATACTTTTAAAAGAAGGTTAAAGACACACCTTTTTAATCAGGCTTTTAATTGAACTTTAATTCTTTTATATTCTTATCATTTATTTATATTTGTATTTTATCGTTGTATTTTATCTTTATGTATTAACTCTTTTAACTTTTATTTTATCTTACATAAGGCCTTTTATTCTTAAAGTTTTTAGTTTTATTTCCAGTGTTTCCTTAGGGGGGGTCCTCCACACTGGGGGCTGTGTGCAGTCTGCTGCTGGGGGTGCTGTCTGCGGGTCCTTTCGGCCGGCTGGTTGGGGGGCTCCCCACCTCCTTGTGAGGATCCCCCTGTCTGCCAGGTCGGGGGTCCAGGTGCCGGCGCCCCCAGTAGTCATGGTCTGCAACTCCTCCTGGTGTGGACGGCCCCAATGGTAGCGTTTCCCACAATCCCTCAGTGCCATGCCATGCCTCTTTTAGTCTCGTGGTGACTGTGTGTGTGTGCGTCTGTGTGTGCGTCTGTGTGTGTGCGACTGCATTTGTTGTATGTGTATGTGTATGCATGGAGGGTGGGAGGGATGGGTTTACTTTATTTTTTAAATGTTGTAATGTTTTTAAATGCTTTGTTGTTTTTAACTGCTTTGTTGTTTTTAAATGTTGTAAAGCTCTTTGCGTTGTTGTTGTTGTTGCACATGAAAAGTGCTATATAAATAAAATTTGATTTGATTTGGGTAAATTAAAAAAGCAGTTAATGGCAGGAAAATGAGGCTGCAGTATACTGTAGTATAAATGAAATATGAGTAAGCTGTAATAAAATATATACATAAAAATAAGTTGGCCTAGTTTCATTTCCTGGACATAGAGTATAATAGTGCCTTTGATCCTTCCTTGCTGTCACTCACCAACAAAACTTTTCATCCTTCTTACTTCAGAGTCACCACAGACATGATGTATGATGTGACATGAGATCATATGGTAAACTTCAGGTTAATTTACCTTTTTTTTCCAAAGCAAGGTGGCGCAGTTGGTAGCACTGTTGCCTCGCAGCAAGACGGTCGCCGGTACACGTCCCGGTGGGGGCACTGGAATCTTTCTGCGTGGAGTTTACATGTTCTCCCCGTGCAGCATGGTTTCTCTCCGGGTTCTCCGGCTTCCTCCCACAAGTCCAAAAACATGCTGAGGTTAATTGTTGATTCTAAATTGTCCGTAGGTGTGAATGTGAGTGTGCTTGGTTGTCTGTCTCTAAGTGTGGCCCTGTGATAGACTGACGACCTGTCCAGGGCGTCTCCTGTCTTCGCCCTAAGCTCCAGCCCCCCCGCGACCCTAGTGAGGATTAAGCGGTGTATAGATAATGGATGGATGGATGATATCACAACAAATTTGGGCCACAGGCAGAATATCATGTTCCACAAGCAGGATGTCTGAACGAAAAGTTCAGCCTGTTTGTTTCAACAGAGAATAAACTCTGTAAATCAAAAGGTTTCAAAAGACTTAAGAAATATTAAGGGTTTTCTGATCTTTAAAGTAAAACGAATATTTTACAAAAACCTAACATGAGACATGCTTAAAAAATGGCACTGAAAAGTTTGGAACTTTGCCTCTTTGAAGTCGACAGCAGCTGCCAACTTAGATTTACGGTGGTTACAATGGATTCCCAAGGTAGCCCTGTTTTATAGTGAAATACCATATTAAAATACAAGAAGGCAAAAAATCAAATTAGTTGATTTCAGGTAATTGTTTACATCTAATGCTTAGCAGGTCATAAAATGGCTTACTTGTTAGACTCCATAAGCATTTGCATTAGCTGGCTCGACAAAACCTGAACAGAGATAAAGGCTATCACTGGTGTGGTTATCAGCTTTTTTTGTTTAAACAGGTTTTCTTCATCAGGCTTTGTGTTAGCTCACATAGAAAGGTGGCATTTGACGGATTTGAGTCTGACACTGTCCCATAATGAAGGTTACTTTGAAATCACTTAAGTTTTTTGGCTAAATCAAAGTGAAAATAATGTTACTGATTGATATTCTCTGTGATAATTACCAATGGACTCATAACATTTTCCAATCTGGGATCTATTAACTGTAATGTCTTTAGTGTAAAACAGACTGGGCACTGAAGCAGGACCAAGCATAAAACATATTAATGCCTTTTGTAATGTAGTTTCCTTCGGTAACACAATGCTTACAGTAACTGCATGGCTTTGTTCAGTGCCATTACTAATTTTCGTCCGAACAGGCTTGCAGCTGAGAAACTATATCAGTCATAAAGAACGATGTCTGGAAAAGAATTGGTGAAGTGGTGGTACTTCTTATATGCAAATGGAATCCCAAACTCTGAACACAACATCCTCTGAAGTGTATGGCAACAGTTACCATGGTGATCATACCCACCTTCGTAACTGGTTTTTGTCTCAACATACCTCAGTAACCAAGTAATCTTACATCGTAACAGACCCCTCAGGCATGCAGATGGCAAAGGCAGGGGACACCCTTGAACAGGTCGCCAGTCTGTCACAGGGCTACATTTAGAGACAGACAACCAAACACACTCACATTTACACCTGCGGACAATTTAGAATCACCAATTAACCTCAACATGTTTTTGGACGCTGCATGGGGAGAACATGCAAACTCCACGCGCAAAGATCCTGGGTGTCCTCACTAGGATGCAAACTGGCAATCTTCTTGCTGTGAGGCAACAGTGCTAACCACCGAGCCACCTTGCAGCCTGCATCGAGAGAAATGTTTTTGTAAAATTAATATAAACACCAGTCAATAAAACCATACAGTTCAGTAGCAGCCCAGTCTATAAGATGAATCACAGTAATTACCTTATATCTAGAGTCCACCTAATATATCAGCTGGTCAGTATTATCAATTGATTGAAGCCTTGAACTGATATCTTGTTATTGTGGTCCGATATACGCTGATCTGAACTACAAAACATAACACTTCATAAAACATTTCAGCAGAGCAGCTTCGACTGTATACAGTACTCACTGTCTGCAGCACATGTAGCAGAGATCACGTTGGAGCAGCGAGTGATACGGAGTCAAGCTTTGTCTTCATGGTAAGCTGTTAACTAGTTGGGGGATTATTTTGCTGAAAAGTAAATACATTTCGCCAAATAACACAATATCAGCTTATACACAGACACAATAGTGGAACTTCTTACCTCCTAAAATTGATATCTGCCCCAGCAGCAAGCATCATCTGGGCTCTACTAATAACAGTTAGCTGTAGTTTCATTGTCCTATAATGGGCTGTCTTTATTTTTGAGCTTTGATATCATTGAAACACCTAATTTTCCATGTAAATAAATTGAAACTGACCTTGTTGTACCAGATGTACCTGCCATTGAGTAAAATTCTTATAAGTGCAGAATAGCAGTTTCAAAATACATGTCCACCACTAAATACAAGAGAGCGACCCACCCCCTCAAAAAAAAAAAAAATACTGTATCATCAAAAATGTAATTCAATCATTTTATACCCACATTCCTTTTTATTAATGCTACACGGCAGGATGTGGAATCCACAATTTTACACTTTCGAGGCAGCCAGCCCTTTCATACAGAGAAATGTCTTACATCATACATTATAGTTTTACCCATAACCTGGTGAGACTTTCATTTATGAGAGAGTCTTTATTTATTTATTTTTACCACAGATGCCTCATTTAATCAGAAACCCTTCTGATAAAATGACATGGCCTTGGGCACTTGCAAGAAACAAACGCTGGGGCTCGGTGAAAGACATTAAAATGAAATGCAATGCTTTAATGATCACCAAATCACTTCTACATGGAACTTTCTTGAGCACATTAGATTATGATGGTATCATAATTAGAATAATAACATTTTTAAATGAGCCGGATCTTGTCAGCTGTAGGGGGTTGAGTAAATGTTACAATGACTTACTGTTTCTTTCCTCTGCGGCTTCACACGGGAGGTTATATCGGTGGGTAAAAGAAAGAAGCATCTCAACCTGTTGCTTTTGAGGAAACTTGTTTATGTGCGCTGCAGCCATTCAGAGAGACAATAACAGGAAACATGAGGCTGCTGCTGCTGCTGCTGCTGCTGGGTGGAGGGCTGGCCTCACGGTAATGACTGGAGTCAGGTAACCACCGGACAGATCGACTCTTTTCCTCCTCACAGACTGGTGTCAGACGCGAGGAGAGGCGTAGAGACGCAGGAAGGCTTCACCTTTTCCTCACCGATGCTGCAACTTTCAGTTTGGGGCAAACTTTGTGCAGCTTGAAGAAGTTTAACCAGTTTTGGCGACGCGTTGTCCGGCGTTCATACGACGATCGAGCACGGTTTGGATTGAACTGAGCGCGGAGGAGAATCAGGTGTTCACCGTGTGTCGCGTTTTCTTTTTACTCGCCAAGCTACAGAAGTAACTGAGTTTGAAGGACGACTGCTCCTTTTTCACGTCTGGTGTCTCTTCTTTTTTTTCTAGCTTGGTTTTAAACTTACTTCCTCACTTCATTGGACTTTATTGGCCAAGTTTGAACAGGTAGGGGCATTTTGGATCAGTACGCACGACATTTTCTGTTGGAATTTGAGCACAGGTTTGGCGTACGTGGTCGGTTGACACCTTTTGAGCCTGGGCCAAGAGGTGGAAATGAGCCCAGCTAGAGCTGGGCAGCCCAGCAGCTGTTGACTTGTCTGACCTCTGTTTGAGCCTCTTTAAATATTATTTGGCTTTTGAAAAGTCACTTTGGTTATTTTACAACATTCTTTGCCTTCTTAAACTTTAACCAAGATACACTGGAAATAAATTCTGCACTTATACACACCAGAATTTAAAAGGCACAATGTGAGCAGCTTATCATAGATCTGTCATGTTGTGTGTACAGTAACTCATGTCTAAGGTTTCCTGCACTATATAAGACTAGCTGTGCCTGTTTTCTGCAAGTTTTTTTTGTCTGCCAGTGACTTCTATGAGTAATAAAGTCCAAAAGCCTCAACTCTGCACAGTATTTACAGCAGTTCTATGGTGCAGTGGTTTCAGATAGTGGCTCTATCTTCTGACACTTTTGTAGCTTCTGTTGCAGCAGCATCTGACCTCCAACACATACACAAACATCCCCCACACACCATGCTGATCAAGATTTCGAGTCACGCCTATCAGATCAACCACAAGTCTGTTTCTCAGACTCTCATATATGACTCACCTGCATACTGCAAAGCGCACAGCTGCTTCATCACTTTTTAGCCACAGTCATGCTGAATCTGTGTTGCTTTAAAAAGAAGCCAGTTTCTAACTTGTGACACATCACACAAACATTGCTTAGCATGCAGCTGAGCATACTGATTACAAGCAGAGATCCCAGCAGGGGCTCCTGACATGGCTCATCTTCTGTCAGGCTGGAGAACTGAGGGCCTCGAGGCCATATCCAGCGGGTGTTACTCACCTCTGGCTTAATTTGGCTGTCTGGGAGGAGTTATTTTCTTGAAGGTTTTGTTAACAAGCATGCTTACGGCTTAGATTTCAAAGAGAAGTTGCACATAAAGAGGATGTGTGTTCGAGATATATAGAAATGTAGGTGTCACTTCAGGCAAAGAGACTAGCTAATTAGGGATCAGCACTGCAGTTTTATGGCACAATAAAAAAACAGGAATCCTGATTTAGACAATTCCTGTCCTAGGAAATAGTGAATTTTAACTTCAGCTTGTGTCTCCCTCCTCCAAACCTTCCTATTATAATTACTCCACCCAAGGATGTATGACACTTAGCAGAACTGCCATGGCAGACCGACACGCTGTAAATCTTTTAACTTCTGTGAAGGATATGGACAGTTTATACTAACTTTGCTAAAGATTTAAGCGTGATGTCTTGCATGTCGTTTTGGTAAAGTGGAAAGAGATTTAGACAAAAATGTCAGCAAGACCCAAGTTTCACTGTCATGTTGCTGTTACATTTTTAGCTATGTGTTGTTGTGTCTTACACTTATGTTCAATATTTACACTCGTATCTCTTCAGTACCAAGATCACTAATGTCTTCTTTGGTTAGCCAGGCAGCACATCTGTCTACTTCAGATGTTTATCTTCCAACTGCTCCAACTTTGTGCGATCATATAGTATATGAAAGGTCCATGAAATGTATTTTTTGACGTTCGGCGTTTGGCAGTGGCGTCTTAAGTATTTGTGGCATTTTGGCTGTCACTGAAGAATGCTGTGAAGTGTAATGTATAGCTTTTGAGGTCACGATTCCTCTTGTGCAGTAATCAAATAAGATATTCCGTGTGTATGCAAAGTCTGTCTTTCTCTGTGAACTGGAAACAAAGATAAATTCTGTGCATCTAGAAGCGATTTCTTCTCTGGTGGCCTGTTTGTTCGTGTTCAGCTGAAAAGTTTTTTGTCTTTGATGCATTAAAGAAAATAAAGCATAGAGTCCAGGTCGATGGGTTTGTCTCTTGTAAAGCAGTTTAGTTTTGATATGAATCTGCAGAAATCTACCCAAATGTACAAAGAAGGAGATAGAGGGGTAGTGTGGGCGAGATAGCTGTTAAAGACAGATAAAAGGGCAGCAGAAAACTGTGTGGTCGTCAGCACCACCAATCAGCGGGAGTTTTATCTTTTCAAATCGTGTTGAAAAGAGCAGGAGAGAGTCAGACTCTGACAAGGCAGAGGGAGATTAAAAAACAGAAAGATAAAGGGGAGGAGACAAAGGAGTAGCTGGGAGTGATGAAATCCACCATTTCTTTGCAGGGCAAACTGGGTGATGGATGAATTTTCAGCAGGAGGGAAATTCCTCACTGTCGCATTGCCTCCAGCATGTATCTCTCCGTCTGTCTGTCTGTCCATCCTCAGTGTAAGTGATAGCGGGTTTATACAGCTCTTTGCCCCATACTGTAGCACTGTAACCAGGACTTATTTTCATATTTCGACTAAGCTGTTTACAGAGGTTTAAGTTTTCCAATCTAATGGCCTCTTCCAACCGCAGGTGTCACGAAGAATAACATCTCATCACTCTTCTAAAGCTCAGAAACTTTTCACACTGAAGGCGTTACAAGAAAACACGGTTTGATTATGTCCCTTTCTGTAGCACAGAGAACGAATCAAGATGGAGAGTTCAGCTACAATCAGCACTATCTCCAGCGACGATTAACTTTTTTTTTTTTTTTTAAAGATCTATTTTTGGGCTTTTCCGCCTTTAATGATAGTGAAAGATAGACAGAGAAACGTGGGGAGGAGAGTGGGGGAGTGACATGCAGCAAATGAGCTGCTGGCTGGAATCGAACCCGGGCCGCTGCGTCGGGGACTATAGCCCCTGTATATGGGTCACCTACCCGCTGAGCTATCCAGGCACCCACAACAATGAACTTTTAGGGGCAAGTTTGTCGAAAAGAATGCAGTTGTTTTGACCGTTGTATTGTGAGTTTAGATTTAATGCAGTCACTGAAATCATGACGCAAGTTGGCAGTTTTGTTTAGCTGTTCACTGTTTCAACACCGTCAGGGGTCATTTAAATTTGATGTTGCTACCAAAGAGGACAAATTCTAGATTTCGATGTTCTGAACAGTCTCACTGGCTGCTTTAGTTTTTGATTTGCCCATGATTATACTTGGCCCTAAAGTGCATGCTGTGGAGCATTTCTGATTATAGATCCCCGCCTGCACATTGCGCTATAATATCAGAGTTCTACCTTCAAATCTTTGTCTTAATATGATGTTGCCGGTCTTCCATCTGTGTCTATGTGCAGAGTACACAAACACACAGCATCTTCACACTGTTATTATTGCTGCTAAACAGAAAATTAGACTCAGATGGCCGAGGATGGTTCACCTGGAAATAACAAATCAGCACACCAATGACCACGCAAGTTTTATTTCTTTTTCTTGTAGAGGCAGAGAGAGACCTCATCATTCAAGTTTGTTCCCAAGGAAACAACCACTGAGAAAACTCACAATCATTATCTTTGGTATTGCAACTAAAATGGAAAAGTCCCGCAACTCTGCTCCAGCTGCTCGCTCTGTGACTTTCTTCTGGCGCTGGTCATTTGGGGGGGTAGTTCATCTCGAGGAAGCTGGTACAGTGAGATGTGTTAAATGGGAGGCGTGCCCTTTTAAGCAGGTTAAACTCAGAGTATTACAGTTGGTGTTAGAATAATGTGTGATGGGATAATTTTATATATTGGGAAATACTGAAATAGAGACATGAGCTAAATTGGTCCCCAGTGAGCTCATTTGATCTGTAGCATATTTTTGCATGATGTCACAATGTCAGTCCAGACATGCCAGAGTTGCCGGCCACGCCCTGAATTTCAACCGTGAATCATGGTATGAATTTCACCTTTTTACCTCGTAGGCACAGAGGACAGTTTTCAGACCTTTAAATCATTCATCCGATGTGTCTGTTTGTGGTTGTTCTTTAATTTCAAATAATCTGTTGACTTAAAGCTTTGTAAGTCTTGGCTGACAGTTGGTGAGGATAGAAAAACATTTGCTGTCTTCAGTTTGCTCTGTCTGTGTTGTACACATGCCAGTCTTTTGTCACCACCAACAATGAAGCGGACAAGGATTAGACGGTTAAGTAATGTGTTGTGTTTGTAAAGGTAATAGTCTGGGGATAAGTTCTGACAGGAAAATATGTTTAGCTTCTTAACTTCTAAGCATTTACATCTTTCTCATGCATTTCTGTATATAGTCTAGTCTAAGACCTTCAATAAGCTGTTCCATGTTCTTTTTAAATATTACATGCCAAAAGTTAAAGGAAACTTGATTAAAAGGATTATAATTTATACATTCTATATATTATACAAAACACATTTTACCAAATGGCCATAACATCGTCTGGCTTTTCTGATGGAAGTCCAGCAGAAATGATTAATCAGCAACAAAATAGTCTGCTACTTCTGTTAATGTATTAATTATTTAAGTACTTTTTTAAGCATTCTCTGATTCCAGCTTCTCAGTCATGAGGATTTGCTTCTTTTTATGTATTGTTTGATTGTAAGCCAAGTAACAAAACATGCAGTTGATAACGAACCCTTTTTAAAGGTTTTTTAAATTGTAAGGGGCAATTATCACAATTATCCGACTTTTATTAGACCAAATTTATCAATAAATTGAAAATAATAATAATTTGGCGATGAGGGATAGTCAAGGCAATCAATAGGTACAGCTGCAATCCAGACACTAGGGTGGTTCGATATTTCTATTTATGTGCAAATGAAACATGCATGATAAATAACGCAGCCTCAAGATGTCAAGGAAAAACATATATGCATGGTTGTGGTTACTAGGTTACAATGTCTGTGCAAGAAGAATCTCACTGCTGTACGCTGTAGGCAGCAATTATCCCAAAAGATGCATCTTTAAGTGAGGTGTGGGTATGTACACTTTACCAGCAAATCACAGGCACATGCATAGCATTGAAATATGTTTTAGGTTACATGCACAGAATTGACTGAACACAACAAAACGTTAATGAACACAGAACAAGGCCCACTTTTTTTGGTGTAGGAGAAATCGAAGCTTTCACACAGTTAAGTGATGCCAACAAGCTGTCTTCCAAAGCTGCAGCTAAAGTGTGATGTTGTTGTCTAGTCTCTTGTATGATAAAACGTGTCTCATTGCTGCCAATTCACAACAAATTTGGAAGTGCCACACCTGTTGCCGAATCGCACAAAATGCCAACGACAGATCTGCTGTACTTCCCACGCTAAAATGGAAATTACTTTCCAAGCTTAATTTGTTTGTAGAGTTTTGATAGCTGTGGTTTTGTTCTTCTTCCAGGCAGAATGCATGGCACATAGAGAGTATAAATCATGTGTTTCATTAACAGAGGTGGCTTGGAATTTCCTAATTTCGTTTGCTGCTTTATGGCATGCTTTTTTTCTGGAGCTCAGTTAAACTAAATATCTCTTGTTGCATTTCCTAACACTAGCTCTGTTAGTAGAAAGTGCTTTGCTTGTTGAGTTGGATTTTCTAATTTATGAATTTGTTGACCACAGTAAAATCAAGAAGGAGCAGCGGTCCATATTTGGAAACCTTTCCATCTTAAGATGTATCAGACTGATAGAGGATAGCAGGATTTGTCACTAAATAAGGAACAGCATGATGTTTTAAGCTGCCATNTTTTTTTTAAAAACATTGTCCATGACATGTTGTGTTTTTTAAAACCATTTCTGTGGATGGTTAAAGAGGCTTGTGCATCATGCCAGTTATCTTGAATTGTGCACTGTTTAATGTTTGTATCCCTGCATTCCTCCATTAATCAGTATAACTTGGCATACAGTTTGTGCCGCAGACTTCTAACTATCCCTTGACCAGAAAATTAGTCTTGTTGGCAGAGTGATTCTAGATGTGTGATTAGCAAATCTCCATTTTCTGTCCTTTTTTAGTGCTGTGATCAGTGGTGAACATCTCATATTATTTGCCTGCTCAGAACAAGAGAGTTTATTACGTCAGTGGGTTGATCAACATGTGCAGAACACAATATGTTGCCGTAGAGAGAGGAGGCATTCCTCTGCACCCGATTGTTGATCCTGGTTTTGCCGTGGTGGTGGGTGAAGTGAAACCCTGCCGTGTTAAGTTGTGGGTACCATTCAAGACCTTAAACTTTGCTACAAATGACTTTGGAAGCAGATATGTACTGCGAATGAACAATTTTAAAAACATTTTAACCTTGTGAAGCACTGCAGACACTTACACAGAAGATCAGCTATGAGGTTGTCTATTTGAGGAAGTGTCGCTTATGCAGGGCTCCTAATGTCCTTAGTGCATGTTCCAAGAGGTGTGTGCTAATGTGTAATACATTCTACTGCACACTTCGCAGTTCATTTGTAATGTGTCGGCATTACGAGCAGACATGACTTTTTTCCAGGGTTGTAAAGAACCTTTTGTCATGATATAGCCAGTGCTGAGAACAAAAAAAAGCCAACTTCTGATTGCTGAAGACTTGCTTAATTTTAAGAGACATGGTGACTGAGAATTCTAAGCAAGCAAAAGAAAGTAAAAATTGTTTAAAATCCAGAACACATAACAGAATTTCCTGATTTAACCCCATATGGAGACTGTTTCATAGTGAGGATAAAATGTTTGGTCACCATTAGTCGTGAACTTTGATCATGGCATAACTAGGAGTCCTTGTTCTGATGGTCTTGGTGGCCTAATGGACTGACCAGGGTTCAGCAGCTAACTGAAAAAGTTTTAGTGTATTGAAGCCCAGCACAGGGGTGATATGAGCAAATTATGGAGTGTTTGTTGGTACAAGTGCAGTGGGATTTTGGACGAATTGTAAACCTGTTAAACCGTCTTGTAGTGAAGACACGAGGAGAACATTGGATGATTGGTTCTAGCTGTTTAAAGGATAAATGGGGACACAGTTTGGTGATGTTTCTCAAGTAAAAACAGCTGGACTGTGTAACTGACTTGTGTTTCAGAAAGATTTTCTAGGAACCAAAAAGTGACTCAGAAATTACTGGAAGTCAACATTAAGAACATTGTGTGCTTTTAAAAAAGGTTCAAGGACTGATTTGTTTTTCAAAGGTGAGGACATTAGTATTAATTAACCTGCAGGAAATATGGTGACATCAAGGCAGCAATCCCGTTAAGACAATTATTGTAAGTGATTTCAAATTTCACTAGGTTTCACAAATACAAACAACTGATCATCATCAGAATAGCAGTTATAAGAAACACAGTCAAATTGTTAAATAACATGTTGTAAAAGGAACATGTAAAGAGAGAATAAATCAGGTCCTGGAATAGATATATAAAATATAAAAATATTATCATCTTTGATACTGAAAGCAGCGCTGAAATCAAGCCAGCTGAGACTGCATCTGATAATACCTAGATCATGTTGGTATGAATACGGTTTTGATTGCGGTAACACAACCAATCATTTCCACCAAATTCATGGTGCAATTGACATTTTTTACATTTATGTTTTACAAGCTATTTTATGTGCTTCCTCCTCCATCATGTTCAAATCTGTTACCTTGAAAGATCTGTCTTTAATGATTGCTTCGAATTTTGTTTGTCCACAATGATAATGAGGAAGGAGGGAAGCTGAACATTATGTTGCATGGATCTAGACATTTGCAATGTGACTGGACATCCTTACAGAATAGATTTAAACAAGCATTGTAGTTTGACATTGCAAGGTCAGCTGGACAGCTGACCTGAATAAGCTGTTGCATCTTAAAAAAAATAGGTATAAACAGTATTTGTTGAGAGTTGGTTTTACTGTACCTACAGATAGTTTTTGTGATGGTGTAATGTGGTGCACAATGTTGTTTGAATATGATTTAGGCTGCAGTGTGTTCTGTGAGAATATGTGTGTAATCGTGATTGAGCTGCGGGGCCCAGCGGCACAGAGGCCTACAGGCTTTTGACTCCATGACAATAGCGAAAATGAACCGAGACCGGATTACACCAGTCCTGCATTCCTCTCCAAACCTGTTTGACGCACGCACGCGTGCGCGCGCGCACACACACACGCTAATCCTGCACATACAGACAGATCACTGAAGCAAGCCAGTACATGTCTTACACACTCTTGCTCAAAGTGCAAAGACAACACTTAGCAACAAGAACAGTTTCTGCATGTGTGTATATTGAGAGTCATAAAATTCATTTGGAGACAATCCTAAAATAACTTCAAAAAAAAGAGGCCAAGTCATTGGTAAGTGTCACCTCAAGTGACTTTCACTGTGGTTCATCAGTTCTGCTCCAGCAATACTGTGTGCTAACTTGTGATTAAACGAAGAGACAATCTGCAATAACACTGCTGCCAAAAAACACAGTTTTAACCTGATTGGTATTTAATCCAGATTCAGTTCACAGCCTTTGTTTATTATATTCCCTTGCACTGTGGGAATGATGTCACCTGTCAAACCCTGCTTTTTCCATTAATGCAGTTGAACGTCTTCCTAATGCGCCGAGTGGTGAGTGATTAAACCGCATTGAGAACGGATGACCTGCAGCCAGCAGCATTAAAGAAGATCTACCCTGACAGCGTGCATCAGAGAACAGAGGAGGCAGAGCAGGTTTGGGTCAAAAAAAGGTCATTCTGCCTATGTTTTAGTCACATTTCGGGTCACATTTAATCAGTGCACAGCTTTGCTGATGCACCCTGTCACACTGGCCTTGCAGTGATCGAATATTTTGTCATTTGTTTTTATGCTTAAAAAATGTTGAATATCTTAGATTAATTATGTAAATTATTACTCAGTTTTCCAAATTGTTGACAATTTTCTGTTGATTGAATCATTTCAGTGATGAATAATTCAAGCACCACAAAAACAGTACAATACACATGCAGATCTAAAGTTAGCTGATTTTAATTAGCTTTTAAGGTACCTCTGTTTAAAACTAAATTATGTAGTATTGTGTTTACTGTATTGGATAGGGGCTGCACGGTGGCTGGGGTGTAAGCACCGTCACAGCTAGAAAAACCCCGGTTCGCGTCCCAGTTAAGACACCTGGGTTCATTCTGTGTGGAGTTTGCATGTTTTCCCCATGCAGCGTTCTCTCCGGGTTCTCCGTCTTCCTCTCACAGCCTAAAAACATGCTGAGGGTAAACTGGTGATTCTAAATTGTCCATAGGTGTAAATGTCAGTGTGGTTGTCTGTCTCTGTTTTCCCCTTTTCCACCAAACTGGTTCCAACGCGGTGTATAGATAATGGATGGATGGATGTATTGGATAGAGACAAGTTGATATCCAATGTTAAACTTGACTTTTTGTAAAATCCCAAAATGTGAAAATCTTTTCTTTCTTTTAGGGCTTTTTAGGGTGTTAATTTTTTCCATGGCAGCTACATTTGCTGTCACACTTCGATTTTTTGGAAACATCTGTGCGTGTGTCTGCACCTAAGATATTGACTAAACAGAGAGGAAACCATTGTAAGGTGTGTCACTGTGAACTTGATGTGTGCCGCTAGAATGTCTGTTGTGTCACAGTCTCAAGTGTCTTGCCAGGATTTGTCAAAACACGTCTCAAACTGTGATCCCTCTCTTCACATCACGTGTACAAGTTCTTGTTCTTTCACTCATTTTAAACTCTCTCATTCCCTGACACATTTCTGTTATGTCTGTGCCTTATCTGTCTTGTTCATTTCTTTTATTGTCTTCTTTCATTTTTGATTTATGAGGCTGTCTCCCCACTCCTCATGATTTGTTTGCTGGGAAGCAGATGAGGCAGATTGCGAGGACTGAGATATTTTAAAATTAAAAGTTTACATAGACTTCTTGAGACAATATGTACTTCAGACAATACACTTTGTCAGATTTACCCATTTATTTGGGATCACATGTATTTGAGTTTGGCGGTGACTCTGCTCAAGTGATGCTCTGGAACAATTTGAACAAGCATGACACAGATAGTCCCTGAGATCACAAACCCCCGGCAGAGCCTTAATTTACAATTTTCATATACAGTATAGACACAACAAGGAGACCAACCAATAGTCCTTATTTTACAGAATCCAGATTACATAGTTCCAAGGTACAATAATGAACCATCTGCAACCTACAGACATATGATATGGAAAACAACCGGGGTTATTCAATTCAGTGTTATTTGTATAGCGCTGTTTACAATATATGTAAATTAAAAGTTTTTAAAAGGGGGGGTGGTTGGGGAGGAGGAGGAGATTTGTCGATCTGCAGAAGCTGGTGTAGCAGATGTGGTGAGTGTGGAGTGGGCAGAATGAATGAACGCTGCCTCGGTTATAAAGCACGCTAAGTGGGTGGGCTGGACTTAAGCAATGAACGATTGGACAGTAAGGGCCTTGTGACACCCTGACTCCGTGCCTGTCTGAACTAACGCGAAGCTCTATTCGATAAAACTATATAGTATACAACAATCAGCTACATAATTTAAACCACTAAAACTACCTGCCTAATATTGTGTAGGTCCCCCCTGTGCCGCCAAAACACAGGACCTCTGAAGGTGTTGTGCGGTTACTGCGATGATTTTTTGGATCTATGGGTTGTGGGATGCAGCCTTGTTCTGACGCGTCCTGTTGATGGTTGTTTGGGATCTAGGGAGTTTGGAAGCCAAGTCAATACTTTGGGCTCTTTTTTTGTGTCGCTTGAGCATTCTTGAGCGGCCTTTGCATTGTGAGAGGATGCATTGTCCTGCTCTGGCAGGAGATTGCCGCCTGTGCTTTTGCCATTGGGGAATGCTTGGTCTGCAGCAGTGCTTTACGTGCCAAAGTACCATCCACATGAATGCCAGGACCCAAGGTTTTTCAGGAGAACATTGCATTGTTACAAGTTGATCAATGTTAAACACTAGACCCATCAATAGTTTTCATGTTGTGCATGTCTTGCATGACACTGTGCACCAAACTCAAATATACTGTTAAAGGCTATAATGACATTCAGAAGCTCCAGCTACTCTATAGTTTTCACTCAGCTGCAGAGTGTAATGCCACACATTACATGTATTCCACCTCAGTGTTAAAAACCGGTGTTTCCCCTCTAATCCTTTGGTCATGAACGCTAACGTGATCCTCAGCTGTCTGTGCACAACAGTTTAGGAGATAAAACTGTTGATAGAATGAATTTGTGAATACCAAAAACACGGAAAGCACAGTGACTGTCTTGCTGTGGAAGTGTAACAGCTGATAAGCCATTGTCTCCTGCGCTGAGGTTATGCAAGGTCATGACTGAGTCTAAAAGTAAACAAAAGGCTGAGCAGTAAACCGGCAACTATCCAGTGCTTTCATGTCAGTATTTTGTAACGTACAAGCATTTCCCACATGCTGGGTTTCAAAGAGGCCGAGGCAATACGGTTGAAATATTCAATCAAATATATAAGGCCATTTAAGCAATATATTCTGTATAGTGATGTGACAAATACAAAATACACAAGTAATTTTGAAGCTACTTTGTTATGCATTACCTTAAACTGAGCAATTTCTTTGTGAAAAATGAGAGGTTTAACAACCGCCTTTGATTAATTTTAATTACAGCTAAATTAGAGAACTGAATGTCATTACATTTAATGATTAAAAATGCCAATCATAAATAGTGTGATATAATGAAAATCTTAAAGATTAGAACTTCAATGTAGAAGTGTAGACGACACATTTGTAGAATAATAGATTGTCATATTAAAACATATCATCACAGTATATTTTCATCCAAATGTACTATCGTCTTGATGTCTGTAAAGTTAGTATAACAAACACCATCTATTCTATATCATTCTCACTCATATCAACACTGAATGTGTATATATGCATATAATGTGTGTCATCATACTGAACACATCTATATTCAATCTAATAATTTCTTGTTAGATTTTTAAAATTTTGTTTTGTTTTGTTTTGTTATTTTTTTTTTAAATTAGAGCTGACTGCATATAAACTTTTCAAACAACTGACCACAGAACTGTTATATTTCTACCGATTATCACTTTTAAAACCAAACTATTCTGCATGCAGTTGGACCAATGCAACAATCTGACTTTTTCACATTGGGATTAAACATATAATCCTGCATGTTAATCATAGTCAGAGAGCCAAGATGACTTACCAAGGCTGCATGGTGCGCTATCTTCATCTTCACCATGCATATGTATGCACCAGATGACCGTGTTAATCTCTGCCTCCCCTCTGATGATTTGATGAGTGGATGACAAGGTTTTTACAAAAGCTTTACCACGCTTTCACTTTTGATCTGTTGCTCAGCTTAGTGGCGGTGGAACGGATTTTCTTAACCCAAATCCTTCCAGACTTAATATTTAAAATGTGTGTGGCAGATGGTGATTTTGACATGGCAGGCGATCAGAAGCTCGCCCATATTGGGAACCACTCAGAGGGCAATATCAGGCAGTATGCAGCCATATACGGTATTTTGACTTATTTCAGACATCTGTGTGTTTAGCTGAAGACGTAATGGTTGCACAAGCTGTAGTTTAACAGCATAGAAAACGTCAGTCGACACAGCAAGGCAAACCTGGTAGACAATTATGGTAGATAGAAAATGCCATTCTTTTGTGTATTGCCGGTTCGGTCCAGTTGCATCTTTGACCAAAAAATGATCATAATCAGTAATTGCCACATTTTGTGAGCTATTTGTGCCATGACAGAAGATAAACACATTGTAGGAGAATGCAGCAACTCACCAATGTTGTCCATCATTCTGTGCGACCTAATGTTTACGCCTTTTTGGTATTGGTTTGTCTGTAATTTTAGCAGAGTGAATACAAAAATACCAGGCCTGGACAATAACCATGTATAGCCTAACCGTCTTCCAGATTGAATGAACTGAACTTCAGTTGGGAAAAAGAAAATCCCAGACTGTCGTTAAACCTGGAAACATCCACGTCACATTACTTTCTGGATCAGTCCAGACAGAGATCAGATGGAGTGCTGTGGGTGTGTAATTTGTGCATTAAGTACTCCTGCAGTAGAATACTGTGGGCAGAGCAAGGAAAGGCAAAGACCAGCCAACCTCCTGCTGAACAGAGACTCTATTGTGTGTGTGTGTGTGTGTGTGTCTGTGTGTGTATGCGCGTGTATGTGCGTGCGTGTATGTGTGTACGTGTAGTACCTGACAGAACACCATTGATCCCCCTCAATCCTTTTTTTGGCTATATGACTTAAGAGACAAAATGAGAGCAAAGACAATTTGCTCCTTTGAGGTGCTATTGTTTCATCACTGTCTTCTTCCTCAACACTGTTTAGATAGATTGTCAGTGTATTAAACTTGCTTTAGTCTAACCACTGAACACCGGGACCGTTGGAAGATTTCTTTTGATATTCCCTCGCAGTGATGCCTTTGATGCTCTTGAGCGCATGTGCTCCCTTGTGAGCATTTGTGCGAGCTCACCGTACATAGCTGCAAAGTTAACACACTGATAAATATGAGACTGGTAGGTTGGTGACTTCCGCTGTGCTTTTAAGTGCGTGCATTATTTGAGCCTCTGCGTCACTTAGATGTTAGGAAGCAGTTGGACTGTCGCGCCTGTGAAGCGCAGCGGTGATGAAAGACTCTGTGATGTATGTTGTTGATTTTGATAATCCTCGACTCCAAA